CTAACAGCTAACGCTGATAAAAACAAATCCAAGTAAAAGGTAAATGTGCAGCCAGTCTGAAATGTTGTATCCCCTCCGTTCTGTTCACCCTCCACTCTCGCTGACTCTCTGTGCTCAACAGCAGGTGCTCCTCTCTACACAGCCACTGAGCTGAAAGGCTACTTTGCATCCTACAAAACACACATCTGGCAGGATTAATGGTCAGTTTCAAACAAAATGCCTATCATTTCCTAAAGTCTCTCTACAGAAATAAGATAATAATAATATCACTTTATTAACCTTATACAATTTTTTGCATGTACTGTATAGGGTTATTGCTCTCCATGAGACACACAGACAGGGAGAGAAGCTTGGGGTCAGAGCACAGGGTCAGCCATTTATACAGCACCCCTGGAGCAGTTGGGGTAAAGGGCCTTGCTCAGGGGCCCAATGGAGTAGGATTCCTCTGATAGCTGCAGGATTTGAACCAGCAACCTTCCAGCCACAGATGCAGATCCTGAGCCACAGAACCAGCGCTCCACCCTTGAGTGAGTGAGAAGAGTAGAGCAATGCAATCTAGGAATCTGGGACAGCCTTGTGTAGCTGCTATCCCAGATTAAAAAAAAACCTCAGAAGCGGCCCCAGACTTCTGCGCGCATGCGCTTGCCTTCACAGGAGGTGGCCTGCGTGTGAGAGATGTTCTGTTCTAACAGACTGGGGTTGAGGAAGGGTGTCCAGGGAGGCTGCAGGACTCTAGGAGAAAAACCCGCGGGATGAATCAAGTATCCCACCTGAAGTAACGGATAATTACTGTCGACCGATACTCTCCTCTTCAGCCTACCGCCCGTCTTCTTAACGACTTGGAGATTCTGCCTCTTTGAGACGAGATCCGTTCCCTGTATTTCCAGAAAACGGCTACAGGCACCTGAGGTCTGTGTGAGGGGATTAGTAATGAACAACTGTGTTGTGGGTCTTTTTTTTTCCAATGAGCCGGCGTTTGCTGGGGGCTGGTGATGCAAGCCCTTCTGCAAACACCGCAGGAGAGGGAGATGTTCGACAGCCGGGCTGTGTTGAAAGGCGGGGGGCTTGGTGGTCGTTGCGTTTGCGGTCTCGAGCCCCTGTCGGCCGGCTGGGCTCAGCTGTCCTTCTCGTCCACGTCAGTCCGCCCGAACTTTCCGAAGCGGGGTGGTGTTTCAGCGGAAACGCGCGCGGCGCGGCCGATGGTCTTCCTGTTGTTTTGCCTTCTCTGAACTCTTTGCTTGCCAGCCCCATCAACCTGTCGAGAAGATCATGGGCTCTCTGCCTTTTTCCACTGCTCAGCGATGGGGGGTGGCTGGAGGAGGGGCGGGGGGAGACTGCTATTTTCAACCTTTGAGCGTTAGGCAGGCATCTAAATATAGGTCCTGTCAGCCAATACAGAGCGAAAATCGAAAAGGTCTTGAGCGGTTTTTTTTACATCTGTCTAGCAAACGATGAGTGTGAGAAAATAACTGTATTTGGGTCTTCACCCCCCAGCACGGGAATATGTTGGATAAACAAGCATGAACATCAATATGTTCATATCATAGTATTGGTGTTACAATACAATTTTATAGTGTGTTAATATCTTGGCACTGGACACCTGAGTGAAATCAATGTTCTCAGTGTAATAGAACACTGCAGAGGTTATTATTTAGATCAGGGGCTTTCAGCTCTGGTCCCAAGACAGCTACGGTCCTGCAGGTAAAGGTATTGAGCAGAGATCTCCTGTGGAGTACACAGGAGTGTAATTGTTCTTGTCTGTGTTGTATGAGAGGCTCTTGTGGGGACAGTGTCTGGCCTGTGTCTGTGTTGTACAAGAGGCTCCTGTGGGGGCCAGTGTCTGGTCTGTG